CCGGAATGTGTACTTGCCCTCGTGCTCTGGGCCCATGTTGGGGAAGATGAGCTTGTGCACTGCACCCTGCTTCACGATCTGCACGCCGGGCAAGTCCGTGATCTGGGCAGCGGAGCGGGGTGGGGTCGGGGTCGGGGGCGAGGGGAGACTGTGAGTGCGAATATATGCCCTGTCGACCCCTATCCTCCTTGGTCCCCTTCTCTAGCCCTCGCCTCAGACCTCCTTGCCGTCCTTCAGCCACACGCCCTCCACCTTCTCGTCGTTGAGCACGACGCACAGCTCAGCTGGGCTCCCAGTGGCCGCGTGCACGTCGGACAGCCCGCTCTTCACCGTGGCCAGACGCTCTGGGGAGAAAGGGAGCAGGGCTGGTCTAGGGTGCTGGGGGCAGAAGGGACTCGCAGGGAAACAGCTGGTGGCCATGGCCAAAGGAAGGGGCTGGGGTGCCACCTCTATCAAAATAATTTATGATTAGCAGGAGGTTTGGAAAAGGTCAATGGATGATTGGGGGGACTGGAGCAAATAGGTGGGAAGTTGGGCAAAAGTCACTTGCATTGGGAAATGGCCAAGGAGGGCTTATCACAGGGGGATGGTTGGTGGCGACTTGGGATGCTCAGCTGAAGAAGGGGACTAGAGGGCGAGACGGTGGGTGGTTAGAGGAGATGGGATGGTTAGTTGTGGTTATGGCAGACAGGCTAGACTGTGTTTAGGAGTTGAGGGTGGTCAGCGGGGAATGGTCAGGATTAGCGAGTATCGCCTGGGCAGGGTCAAGGGATAAAGTCAAGGGATTTCAGATAGAGTTCAAGAGATGGGGTATGATCAGGGCCTAGGAGGTAGAGATGTTCAGGGCCTGTGAGGTGGGAGACGGTCAGAATTTGGGAGATGGGGGTGGTTAGAGTGGGGAAGTGGAAACTGATCATGGTCTGAGGAGGGCTGGCCTCAGTAGGGGGCTGATCAGTGTCCATGGTAGGGACCTGTCAGGGTTGAGGGGGATGGAGCAGTGGGGACTGACAGGGTGGGTGTGTACCCTCCACGGTGACCATGGCAGTACTGTAGTATTCCGTGGGGTCTCCATCCTGCATGGCCACCACGGTGTACTCGCCACTGTCACTGAGCTGTGCATCCTCAATGACCAACTCCGCTCGCTTGCCCTCATGGCTCATGCTGAACTTGGTGCTGCGTTCCAGCAGCTGCCCATCCTTCTTCCAGTGCAGCGTCACGTCCTTGGACGTCAGCTCACACTCGAGGCACGCTCGGCCCCTCTCTTTCACTCGTACATTCTTTAGAGTTCTCACAAATTTGATGGGGATACCTGTGGACAGATAGGCCCAGATTTGCACCTAGTCTCTGACATCCCTTCTCTGTAGCTACCTGCTGCCTTGCTGCTCTTTTTGGTTCCAGAAACACAGAGACTTGTGATGTGGAATGTGTACAGCCTGTGACCCACAGAGGTAACTGACAAGGAGAGTTCCAGCTCTGGCCCTTCCTTGCTTGCTGACCCTATGCAATGCATTCACTCCCTGAACCTCAGTCTCCTCATCTGTAAAATGAGATAACTTTTACCTTGTCACAGCATGGCAGGCAGTATCTCTAATGCCCTTTTGGAACTCTGGCCATAATTGCATTGTCTTTCTGGTGTCCGGGCCTTGACACATGCTCTTCTCTCTGTTGAGAATTTCCTCTCTTCCCTATTTGCTGAAAGCTGAACTCCTTTTTGTTCTTCTTGGTAAGAAGCAGCTTGGCCATCATCTCATCACATCCTTTCTGACCTCACCTCCTGGTGCCCCTTCTTTGGGTTCCCACAACCTCTGTGCCTCCCTCCATCACAGCCATGATGATTCCACATCACGCATGTCAAGTGCCGTTCACATGTGTGCCATGCTTCTGGGTGTACCCACCACCATGTGTAACTCTCCAAACTTGCTCTCATGTAAGAATGCAAGCGGTTAAGAGAGATGTGCTAGAATATATGAACTTAGAGCCAGAAGGGCTAATCATTTCTGGATCCATGCTCTCTCAGCTGATAAAACCACAGCGTGTCTTGACTCCTTGCTTGAGAACTTATGTACTAATTCCATTTCACACCTACATCCCCACTACACTAGAAGTTAGTGAAGAGAACCCTCTGTCTTTCTAGTACCCATCACAGGGCTTTGCAAGGAGAGATAGGTGGATGGATGGATGAATGACTGCCTGCACGGAGGTGGCTGTGGCATGAGGCCCACCCCGCAAGCTCTGGCCCAACCACTCACGGTCAATATTGAGCTGGGCCTTCTGTACCAGGTCCCCTGCCTCAGCAGAGAACTCGCCGGCATCACAGAGTCTGGCATCCTTAATCTTAAGCGTGTGAGTCAGACCATCCTCAGACACTGTGATTTCATACTTGTCATCCCTCTTCAGCTCCTTCCCATTGAACTTCCAAACAAAGTTAGGTACTTTCTTGGAGAGGCGGATCTCAAATACAGCTGTCTGCCGCTCTGTGACCTTCATTGGCTTCATCTCTCCCAAGAATTTCAGGGGCTCATCTATGGGAGAGCAAGAGGGACAGTCACTGGGCTGAAGCCCTGGTCCTTCCTGAGGGGTGGGGTGATGAAGGGGGCATGGAGCTTCAGGGGTCACTGGCCTCCTGTAGCCCACAATGAGGGAAAGCATCCTTCCTTGCATTCTGCTTGTGACTCCATCCCATGATGTTCATCTGGTCTCTTCCCCAGTAATGTTAACACAGCAATTTTATGAAGCACTTACATAGTTCCAATATGTGCCAGGCACTCTTCTAGCCAATTTGCACATATGAATGGATTCAATTCCCATATAGGTAGATTTTACTATTATTCTCCCACTTTATAGATAGGGAAACTGTGGCAAATAGAAGTTAAATAACTTGTCCCAAATCAGAAGCTCATAGTGACAGAAGCTGGGACTTGAACCCCACCAGTCTCCATCGGAGACTGTGCACTTAACCACGATGCCACCCAGCCCCATGGTATTCACTACCTTATAGTCTTCTCCCATGTTTCCCTCCTCCATTAATGTCCATCCCCATGCAGTCCTCAATTACATAGCCCCACAAGCCTCTCTCCCATATCCCCATGGACCCCATCCCTGGCTATTCCTCACTCAGCCCTGTGTCCTCTTTGTTCCCCGATGCCCACATCCATACCCAGAACTGTGAGCTCTGCTCTCATCCGCTTGTCACCCACGGACAGGCTGTAGGTGCCTGCGTCGTTCATGTTCACGTTGGTAATAACCAGCATGTACTTGGTGCCCATCTGCTTCACATCATACTTGCCTAGGGAGTACTGGATCCTCAGTGGTTCATTTCCCTGCCTCACGAAATGGGTAGAAAAGCTGATGAAGGACTTTAGGAGTAAACGTCCAGAGATTCAATTCCCCAAGGCCAGCCGGAGCTGGAGGGTGCCATACCTTCCTCTCTACCATCCTCAGACACATCAGAGACCCCTGAGATCTCTTTAGCCTCATCGTCTGGCTCAGTGGGATCCAGGATCCCTGCTTCCCATGAGACCTGAACTCTTAATGTGACCTTCAGGATTACCTAACCCAGCCTTTTCAGATAGGTAGACTGAGGCATAGAGAAAGGAAGGTAACTGTGTCAAATCAAAAGGCAAAGTGATGGTACAGCTAAGAATAGAGCCCAGCTCCCAGCCAGTTTCAGTCATACCAGGAGGCGTCCTCTTGCTGGGATGGAAGAGATGACATGGTTGATGGGTAATGAGGGAGGTCTGTGAAGGGAGGAGGTGCAGAGAGGAAAAGATATTGCCAGGGCAGGCCCTGCCTAGGGGCTCCATATCATCCCCACCTTCATCCATGTCATCTTGACATTGGGGTCCTTCAGCTCCATGATGCAGTCAAAGACCACAGTGGTGTCGATCTTGGTTTCTATGTCTTCCAGGGGCTTCAGAATCCGGATGGTCTGTGAGATTGTGACAATAAAATGGCAGGCGTCAGGGACATCTGGAGCCTGAGCAGCCTGTTAACCCAGTTCTGGAGGAGCCCCCTAAGGGTCTGGGGAGAAATGACTAGGCTGATTGGATAGCTGTGCTGCCCCCACTCTGTGCCACTGAAAGCCTGCAAGACTTAGGGGGAGACAGATATGATGGATGGTGAGAAATAAGCCACCATTTGTGGAACAGTCACTATGTATGGGGCCCATTAAGTCCCCTAATTCCATTGTAGATGCTTAATAAGTGCAAGCTGGTTGAGCGAATGAATGATGACAACTCAAAAACAAGTGAAAGAGGAAAGGAGAATTTTCACTTTGCAAATGAGAAACTGAGGTTCAGAGAGATGCCCAAGTTCACATAGTTAATAAGGCAGTAGAACTGGGATCTGAACCCAGGGGTGTCTGACTCCAAAGTCCATGCAAGCCCTTTAGGGGGTAGTGGAGAGAGAAGAAGTAAAAGGAAGGCAAGTTCCTTTTCTGCTCTTTGAGCATTGTGTGCAGGGTGGAGAAGCCTTGCCACTGGGAGACACATAGGCACTAGCATTCCCAGACCCCGGCCTGCAGACCCTGGCCCCACTATGGGCACTGACCTCCACCTCCACTTTCTTCATCTCTTTGAGCTTCTTGAGCAGCCCCCGGAAGTCAGTGAAGCCATACTCCATGCAGACCTTCTCAAAGTCCTTCTTGGGCACCTTGGACAAAATCTCCAACATCTCTTTCTCACCTATTCCCTTCTTCTGCTTCTTCTTGGGAGCAGGAGGTGCCCTGCAAGGAGGTGGGTTCCAAGCTTGGACTCAGCACCTCCCTCTGAAGACAGTGGGAGCCTCTGCTAACCTTGAGATCCCCTCCCTACTTCACGGTTCTTGGAGCCTGGGCCATTAACTCAGGGCCCTACTGAAAGGCCTTCAAGAAGCTCTAGCCTTGAGGGTAGAGGGACAGCACCCCAGGTAGAGGGGCCTCCCATTCTCACCTCTTCTTCAACATCTTCTTGAAATCCATTATCTCTTGACCTGAGGACAGAGAGATGGACAGGGTCAGACAGGGGGAGTCTGGTCCCTAAGAGGAGAGGCCAGGAGGAGGGAGCTGGCTCACCTTCTGTCACCAGCAAGGACACAGTGTAGATGGCATCTGCATGGTCATTGCTTGCGATGCACTTGTAGTTGTCAGAGTCATCGGAGGTCAGTGGCTCCAGCTGTGTTAGAGTCAGGCTATTAGTGAGGGAAGGGGGGCCTCAGGGAGACTCTCAGGGAGAGGAGGTCCAGTAACGGGACCATAGGAGGAGAAAGAACAGAGTTCTGTCTGTGGGGGAGAGGGGAGACTCTGCCCTTCACAATGGTAAGTCCTGGCAGGACCAATTGGGACAAGTCTCTGGATGACCCATCTTTCCTTTTCCTCAAGGGTTTGGAACAAAAGGTTGCAGAAGCTAGTTAGATCTAAAGATGATCAGCCCTTAGTGGGAGCCTTCTGGAAGGCTCCCCTGAAGAGCCCGGGAACCCTGACCCTCACCCCAACGCTCTGCTCATTTCCTCCCTCTGTCCCGGTCTGCCTCGATTTAACTTGGCTCCACCCACCACGCCCCGCCCCTTCTAGCCACGCCCACAGTTTTTGCCCCACTTCCCTCTAGGCTTGCTCTCCTTCTGGAACAGCTGGGTCTCTTCCGGTGGGGCCTGCCCCTCCCTGGCTTTACCCCAGCTCTGCTTCACCTCGTCTGATTTTGGTTCCCTGCTCACTCTAGCAACGCCCCAGCTCCTCATTTGGCTTCTCTTATCCTGCCTCTCCTCTAGGGCAATGACAGCCTCTGGAGTCCCATGGCCCAGTTCTCAGGTCACTGTTGTGGCTCCCTTGTTCACAAGAGGGGCTGTGGCATGACCTCGGGTCTGTGCCTCTGGCCTCTTCCATAACTGGATCTCTGGCTTGGGTCCCCGCACCTTCAGCACATGCTCCTTGTTAATGCTGTCGTAGAACATCTTGGCCGACTCCTTGATGGGGATGCCGCTCTCTCTCTTCCAGGAGATGTTGGGTTTGGGGTTCCCCTGCACCTGGGCTCGGAACACAGCTTTATCCCCTGCAGTGGGCACGGGAGGCCAATTTCACCGACTAGCCTCCAGGCCGGACCTTCTGCCTGCACCCTGCCTCCTCCCAGGGATCACATGGCCGTACTGGGCAGGGAGGTACCCTCAGCCTGTTGAGGCTGGTGTTTGCGAACTGGGGGGGGGGGGGTGTCTGTGGTGTGGTGGTGCTGGTTGGGGCACAGGGAGAAGAACGGGAAGAGGTAGGGGCATGGAGAGACACGGGGAGCTACACACCCTCGGCCGCGGTGACAGGGTGAGGTTTCTCCACGAACTCTGGGACGCTCTCCCCCGGAGGGATGTTAGAACTCCGAGTGACCAAGTTGAAGAACTCTACAGTGCTGGAGGACTTCCTTGTCACGACTTCCTCTCCTGGTGTTAGGCGAGAGGTCAGAATGGGCTCCAGGCGGAGCTCGAGCCCGGGATTGGAGGGCTGATCTTTTCTTGACGGGACAATGGAGCATTTTAGGCCAGTGCTGGGACTTTGGCCAGGAAAAGAGGGCTTAGAGTCCATGGGTTGTTGTGTTATGGCAAATTTCAAACACTGGGGGGAGCCAACTCCTCTAACCTTCATTGGACTACATTATTGGGTCCTAATTTTTCTTTCTTTTTCTTTTTCTTTTTCTTTTTTTCTTTTCTTTCTTTCTTTCTTTCTTTCTTTTTTTTGTTAAAGGAGACTTATTTTGGGGGGTTTTCTTTTCCTTTTTTTTTTTTTTTTAAAAGATTTTATTTATTTATTTGACAGCGATCACAAGTAGGCAGAGAGGCAGAGAGAGAGAGAGAGGAGGAAGCAGGCTCCCCGTGGAGCAGAGAGCCCAATGCGGGGCTCAATCCCAGGACCCTGGGATCATGACCTGAGCCGAAGGCAGAGGCTTTAACCCACTGAGCCACCCAGGCACCCCCGGGGGTTTTCTTGAACTCTTGAGCTTCTCTCCTGGAAGTTCTGGTCCCCCAGCAGCCTTAAGAAGGGCCAGGGCTTTCTGCTTGGGAGGCCTGGTAGCTTAGTTGAGCTCTGCTGTAGGCCTTCTGCCTGCCCTTCCGTGGTTCAGCATTCATTGCTATGGGAGTAGTAGTGACTTTTGAGTGAGGGACAGGAAACATTCCCCCTCCAGAGGCACTATATGTGTGAATCTCCTTATCTGAGAGAGCATATTCAATGTGGTAGGGTAATTTTATATTTGGAAAATAAAAAGTTGTATTTTCAGCATAAACTACAGAAAATCTTGCTGGCTGGTGAGCTGACAGTTAAAACGAATTGCTCGCATTCACGGAGCACTTTCCTTGGGTCAGGAACGGTGCTAAGCACATCTCAGAGATTATTTTATCTAATTCTCAAATACCCCAGTGAAGTAGGTGCCTTCATTATCCCCACTAATCTGAAGGACTGAGATGTGAAAAAACGTCTTAAGAAGCTCTGCTTTTAGATAGCAATCAGAGGTCTCAGAGAAGCAGTGTGTGGGCTGCCCCTGACCTGCAGATGTGTGTATTTGACCTTTGTCATGGTTAAACAAAAAGGTGCCCTAGATCTAAAAATTGAGAGATTTCACATAAAAATTCAGATTTCTGGATTCTCAACACTGAGCTCATACAACACTCAGTGGGTGGTGAATAGGCCCCTTTAGGTGGGGCATGGCCTCTGTGGTCCACCTGTCTTTTTTCTGCATTTATATTCCCTGCCTGGACCCTACTGGCCAGTGGTTTTAAACTCAGGCTGCATGCTAGGATCTTTGAAGAGCTTGAAAAACAAACAAACAAACAAACAAACAAAATCACACCTGATTTAGTGGTTGGGTCAGACTTATGTATTGCTCTTTTTTCTTTTCCCTTCCTCTCTGCCTGCTACGCTAAGATAATTCTAATGGGCAACCAGGGCTTCGAGTTACTGCTAGAATGACTTAAGTTTGCAACTTCTGGTCTCGAGTCCCAGCTGTTGCACTTGCCTTGCCTCACTGACCAGGAGGGGTTGCTATGGAGAGTTCATCTGGCCCTTGCCTCTGTGCACAGAGGAGCTGGAGGGCCTCTGCCCCTCCAGGACTTTGAGGGAGGGGCAGTGACTGGGAGGAGATACTGGATATCTTGGCTCCTGGCCATCTTTTAATCCCTTTCCACTAGAGACATGACTAAAACAATCTGTTCTGCTCTGAGACCATTTCTCAGCTTTCCCTTGGATCCGCCCTCCCCCCAAGTCTGGTCCCCAAGGGTTGAGAGCCTGGAAGCTTAGGTCACTTGTTTATGTGTTCATCTTCTCTCTACTGGTGGCTATAAACCTCCCGGTTCTGAAGGGTCAGCAGTACTCAGATCTAGGAAGGTAGTTACTTCCCTAACTTCCTTTGTGCCTGCAATTCTGCCATCAGAGACACATTTATCTGACCATGGCCCTGATCTCCTCAAGCAATTAAGTTTATCAATCACTCATACACATTCACGTGATTGACTTTTCCTAAGCTGTTTTCCAGAAGATCTGATCTGTGGGTAACCATCCCACCGGCTGAAGCTTTATCAAAGCGCAGGTTAGGAGAGGGCTGCTCTCTGTATCTCGGACTCTTGATGGCCTGGCATTCACAAAGCCTGCATCCACCCGGGGTGGGGGGTGGATGTGGAGGGAGAAAGGCTGCCCTTTCCCGATCCCCCCTCCCACCCACTGTACTTGCCTCCTACGATCTTGGTTGTCTGGGAGAAGGTCTGCATGTGGGTGGTGGAGCTGGAGAACTCCATGGACACGTGCTCCTGCAGCATCTGCTGGTGGTGAATGGTCGTCATGGTGACAGCAGGCGTGGGCACTCACCTGGGAGGACCAGGGAGAGGATGAGGCCATGAAGGACAAAGAAGGGAAAAGGAAAGAGATCCAAATAGGTTATTCTGCATGTGTGTGTGTGTGTAAAGGGACAGGGCAGCTGGACAAAGGGGAGATGGCTGTGCACAGGGGAGGGTGAGGAAAAGTAGGGCAGGAAGCCTCTTCTCTCTGGCCTTGCTTTTCTTCCCTTCATATCTCATCTTCCCAGGATGGTTACGGGGACCCGTGGGCCTGTCATCCCCACCAAGTAATCCCAAACCATTCCAGATCTCAGGGGGAGAGAATGTGGGGCTTAGATTTACCCAGGGAACCAAGTGAGGCCCCGGGGGGGAGCTGAGGGTACATACTGATAGCTACATGGAACTAGGGAGGTGGTACTAGATATTTCAGCAGGAGGGAATGAAGTCAGACCTAAGAAGGAACTTCCTGACTAAGCCATACTTCAGTGGGCCTTGGAAGGAAGCGGGGATTTTCCTCCTGAGCCCTGGGGCATTGGTGGAATGCGAAGACAGATGATAGCATGTGTCTACAGCTCTGCTTCCATTTGTGACTGGGTAAAGACAGGTTGAGTTTTCATTTCTCACACTTCTTAAAAACAGTCAGTAATTCAATCTCATAGTTAATAAAACAAGAGAAGCATCTCTTCGAAGCCCCCTCCCACTGCTGAGCCCCCAACTCCCAACCCTCCCCCAACATGTAACCCCTGTGGTCTCTCAGCTCCTGGAGTTCCTTCAGCCCCTTTTTGCACTTCAGGGAGCCCTACTATATACACTCTTCAGCCCTTCCTTTTTCGTGTACTACATTTTGGAGATCTCTCCTTACCAGTTCATGAAGACTTTCCTCATTCTTGCTAACAGCTACACAGTATTTCAACAGATGGGTCAGCATGGCAGTTTTTCCATATGAGGAAACAGATGTCTGAGAGAAATCACCTGTTCAAGGTCACTCAGGCCAGAATCCTGGCCTCTTTAACTCCTAGTCCAGTGCCCTTGCAAGGGACCCAAGAACCTGGTTCTGAGCCAGTTGGAGGCTAAACTCCCATCTCCCCGCCATGGCAGATCTCTGCCTGGCCTACTTCCACCTCTGAGGTCTGGAACTGTCACCAGCTAGACCCCAAGAATTGACCTTTACTCCTCACCTGCTTGTGCCCACCGAAACTTTGTCCCACATTTTTCCTTAAGCTGCTTATCTCTTAGCTCAAGCAAAAGACCCGAGGGGCCTAACATCCCGTGAAGGAAATCGAAACCACCCCTCAAGCAGTAACCATTGCAGAACAGGAGCTCCTCTGGGGCAGGCGGCCCAGACCAGCGTGAGCTTAACCCCCAACTCACCCCTGTGCAGAGGGACCATGGAGGGACTGACAGTTGCCATTTTCCTTGAATACTAAAATCTCCTCAAGGAGGAGTCTCAGCCTTGTATGTATGTATGTATGTCTGAGCGTGTTTCCTTAAGGCGCATGCGTGATCTTATGCCCACGTCTACATGTGATGACAAGGCTCCCCAATTTCAATATTCATCCAAAAAACCCCCCAAAAACTATAGTAGTGTTTTAAAAGTTAAATGAAGAATAAACTCAAATATAAAAACAAAACAAACAAAAAAAACTTAGTAGTGTTTTAAAAGTTAAATGAAGAATAAACTCAAAAAAAAAACCTATAGTAGTGTTTTAAAAGTTAAATGAAGAATAAACTCAAATATTAAAAAAAAAAATATTCATCCTAATCCTCCATAAAAGAAACCCACTTGCCCTTGGTCAGGGAGTCACGGCTTTGGAAGTTATTCCTCGTGATCTTATTTGCTGGAAATCACGTTTCCGTTTCACTCACCTGGTGTAGTTTCTACCTGGGACTTGAGTTAGATTACTCTGGCCGTCCTGCTCTGGGCTCCGAAGGTGGTAGGCTCTGACCCTTCTTGAGGAAAGAGGAACGTTTTACCTTTGTGTGACCAGTTCCTCCTAACCCTTGAATGCTGTGTCCACGTCTTTGGGGGTGAAGCCGTGCCTGGGCTATTGGTGGGCTGGTCTCCTCCTCCTTTTGCCCCAACAGTGGAGCCACCAGGAGTCACGGGTTCCTTATATGTCTGGCCTCTTGGGGGCGATCCCTTACTGAGGCTCCACAGCTGTCCCAGCTAGACTGGCACGCTGCTTTGTGGGGAGGGGAGTGGAGGAAGGGAGGCTGGAGCCAAGGCAGGAGGAAATGCTGGGGTCCAGGCGTGTGGGCGGGAGTCCAAGGGTGGTGGTCCAGGTTACTTTTCCTGTTCCCTTTTGGCTGAGGTTTTGGTTCTCACTGCTGGTAAGTGGGTCCTCTCTGAGTCGAGGGACTCAGGGTAGAGTGTGTGTGTGTGTGTGTGTGTGTGCGCACGCGCGCACGCGTATACACACATGTACATGTGCCCACAGGCCAGTGGGGCCGGGGTCAAGGAAGTTAGCTATTTTGCAGAAGTCCTGGGGTGACTGTTCTCCTTGTACTCTGTGACTGGTGCCTGCATAGCCTGAGTGGCCTCCCAGGACCACCTTGGGGGAAGAAATAGCACTGTTAGCTCCCCTCCCCCCCCTCCCACTCCTACAACTCAATCCTCATCTGGGTGGACCTTAGGAGGCTGTTCAAGTCTTTCCCTGTTGTTTCCTCATTGTCTGTAGTAGAGCTGGGTGCTTGGACCCTCGATCAACAAACACAAAATTCTGATACCTCCTAAAGACCCACTGGTTGGTTAGCAGCCCTGTCCTGGACCCTCCCGTGCCCTGGAGTGACCCCCGCCCC